GGGTCGGGAAACTGCGGCGCCCCCCGAGCAGGGTGGGAGGTTCGCGCTGGCGCAGGCGGGCCGCGCCTCCCGGGACCCCGGCACGGTGACCCGCTGACCAGCGGGGCGCCCATCTGGCGCAGTCAGCCTTCTGCTGGCCGGCCTCTGCTCGGGCCGGGTGCTGACTCTCTTCCGTTATCCGGGCGCCCAGGCCCCGATCTGGAGGTGCCGGAGCCCTTCAAACAGAACTGCATCTCCTCGCACAACTTCATTTTGTGATCCTCCGTGCCCAGGATATCTGACGTTAACCATGGTGCTGAAAGGATTGATTGTATCAGTGCAGGGTGAGACACCTGTAAGCACGGTACACACACGCATTATCTCATTTAATACTGCGACAACAGTGTGAGAAACCTGTAACATTTATACCCATTTCACAGAGGCGGGAACCATCCAAGGCACACAGAGGTAAAAAACTGATGCGCAGACGGTAAGCAATTAAATGGCAGAGATGGAATTGTGTCCACCACGAAGACCCACGGCGGGCCTCGTAGGTGGGTACCCCTAAATACTAGATGAGTCAAGAGATGAAGCATGTTTTTATTGTAAAGAAAATATTTATTATAATTTTTAAATTACTCATTTTTTTTTCATCTCATAGTTCTTTAAAGTGAAGATGCCAGACAACATTTTTTATATTTGTCTGTTTCGTTCAGTAAGATCATTGTATGGGGGGGTGTTAAGTGGGAGTGGGGTCTCATATTTAGGACCACTGGTGCTAACTACATGGTGCTGTTGCAAAATATTTTAACGCCCAGATTAAAAATCTGTAGTTACATCATATCTCCACCTTTTCTCCTGCTGCATCAGTTGTAGGCTTGCACCAGATAACTGGTATTGATGTTTTGCCAAAGCCCTATTTCCCCTGAAATCAACCGCAGTGGCTCACACAGGCACAGGTAAATCCCAAAGAGAAGTTCCTTTGAAGTATTCCTAACAAGTAGTAAAGATGCGCAAGTGACAGAGAAAGAAGAGGTCTATCCTGGAGCATAATGAAGGCAATAGTCCCTAACACAGGGTGACCTGGTTAAAGATTAACAACAAGAAAGGAGATAAGCATCCAGAAGTGATAGCTTGTGTGTAATTGCCCGTTAATCGCCCATTGGTCCATTGTAATGAGAACGGTGTTCCAGAGAGGAACATTATCATCTGAATGTCAAAAAAGAATCAAAAACTATTTTCTCCTAATCTCAGCATCAAGGAAAACAGATCTGGTAATATGGACGGGAAAAGCCTGACTGTGGTGTATCCTTGGGCTTCTTTTTAAAAGCCAATGTTGAGACTGCAGCCAGCTTCATTGTGTTTACAGAGTATTATGTGGTGATTATGAGATTCAAGAGAACTACATTTTTTCATATGTAACTCCTTAATGAGCATATTTACTATAACTTCTGCTCCAGGCCTTATAAATTAGCAGGGCTAAGCTGTAGTATCCCCGTATCTGAGAGGTATATTTTCTGAGACCCCTCGTGGATGCCTGAAACAGGATAGTACTAACCTTTAGATGTACTGGTTTTTTACCTATGCATACATACCTAAAATAAAACTTAATTTATAAATTAGGCACATTAAGTGGTTAGTAATAACACAGTGAAATAGGGCATCTATAGCAATAAATTACAATTAAAAGATGTATGAATGTTTTCTCTATCAAAATATTGAATTGTATCACCCTTCCTCTTGTGAAAATATGAGATGACACAATGCCAATAATGTGAAATGAAGGGAGGTGAGTCACATTGTGACCTAGGATTGAGCTTTTCCCTAAGGGTGACTTGAACATAAGCACTGTGATTCCATGACAGTAGATCTGATAACCAGATGGCTATTAAGTGACGAATGAGTGGGTAAGTTGAACATACAGTGTGGATGTCCTAGACAAAGGAATGATCCACATCCCAGGCAGGAAGGTGTGGGATGGTGTGAGATTTTACTGCAGTACTTAGAGCCTGGCTTGCAACTTAAAACTTAGGAATCTTTATTTCTGGAATTTTCCATGTAATATTTTCAGACCATGACCAACTGGGAGTAACAGAAACCATAGCAAAACCAGGAGTAAGGGGGTGAGTACTGCGTAATAGCACTGATTTCTTTTTTAAAGAGAATAGTGAAAAAAGAACAATAACAAAATACCATCATCGCAGACAAAACAAAACAAAGCAAAAACATTAAAAATGGTACAGGGTGATTTCTTACACCTTACAGATTACTATTATTGCTGTAGTTAATTTTAGGGTTTCTGTGCCTTGATCTACAATACATTGAAGGTGTAGATACTTCAGTAACCTAAAGAACTCTTTATTTGTCATATAGATATGGAGACCTATTTTATTATTTCTCCATCACTGTTCTTATCCCATTAAACCATTATGTAGGGGAAATTACCCTAGTTCATCCTAATGATTCTAGCCCAGCAGGGCTCCTGTAGCTGCTCTCTCTTCTACTTGAATACTCCAGAAAGTTCCAGACAGAGAAGAGTGTACGGGTACCATAGTAAGAGGGAACACTGCAGGGTGAAGCTGTTTCAGAACAGAGACATTGTAAATCATCTGATGATTTGAACCCTGGAAATGCCTTTCTTTTCATGATTTTCATTTCCTGGACCATGTCTTAATTAATTCCTTCTTTTTACGCACAACATTTTTGTTCAAGTCCTTGTTATAACACTTCACCCCTCATACTGCAATTATTTCCCAGTGTGGGCCTCGTGCTGTACTGTGAGCTGCTGCAGAAAGGAAGCTGGATCTCAGTTACCTTTGTCTCAGAACGTCCTAGCAGTGTCCTGCACGTAGTAGTTAATAAGTAAGTGTTGAAAATGGTTGAGCACAGCCTGGTAGATACATAAAAGGAAACACTCAGAAATCTTTAATTTATCCAAGCACGTTTACTTTCCCTCTGCTAGATGTCAAGGCTATAATGGTAAAAAGTAGTGAAAAGTCCCTGCCATCCCAGAGTTCATCACAGAACACAATATAGGAATATACAGAAGTAAAGAACTAAGTAAAATATTGCATATGTACTTATAATTGTCAATGAGGGAAAAAGCAGAGTACTTGGGGACCTACTTTACTTGAGTAACATTCATTTATGAGAACATTAACTTATGGGGACACCTCGAAGTGAGAAGGAATGGGCACTCGGTATGTAAGAAGAGCATTTTCAGGCGGGGGAACAGCCTGTCCCACTTTACAGATGGAAAAGGGCTCTGTTTTGGGTTGATTTGAGACACCTGTGGGACATCTTCATAGAATCTACATATTTTTTTTTAGAATCTACATATATTTTTTAGAATCTACATATAATTTTTAGAATCTACATATATTTTTATTCATCTACATTATTTTTTTAGCTTCAGCTGAAAGGGAATTTTAATGCAGATATTGAGATCCTGAAGGAAGAGGTAAGTCTCCACTCGGGAATAACTGATTCCTATGCCTCTGAGACTGTGTCTCCCTTTCCAGTGATTGCTTTTCTGTGCATCTGTGAGTGCATCTGTGCAGGTTTTCACTGCAGAACTCCTCTGCTTTTTCAGGTTCATCTTATAAAAATTATTCCCTGGAAGCCTTGATGTCTATGTCTTGTAATTTATGTGTCCAGAAAAAATACTGGTCTCTTTCCTGCAGTCCCAACTATAAAATTTCTCAAGAAAAAATTATACCTGAATCATTTGAGACCTGTGGCCTGAGTGATGGGCGAAGGATGGGTTGTGCCGTGTCCTGATGGAGCATGTAGATTGCAGTTGGAGAAGGGACGCTTGCGAACAGAGAGGCGGAGCAAACCAGCTTCTAGGCACCCACTCTCTGCTGACTCTTCTCTATGCAAAATGTTACCTACTTCGTATCTTAAAACAGTGCCTTACCCTCTTATGTTTTCAGTGGAAATACCGACAAGCTTCTCACCATCCCCTAGTTAATGTCTGCCTTAATGACTTCCCTGTTCTGTGGATGAGCACAGGTAACATGCTCAACGGCTTGTACTCCTAAAAGGTTCTTTACTGGGGTAATTGTTATTGACAACCGAACTGTTATTACCAATAATTTTGTTTTACTTAAGTCATTATGACTAATTTAGCAGATGGGAAAAATGGAAAATTAAGTGCTTGGATGAAAAAAAATTGACATAGATAACAGAAGTTTAACTTTTTTAAAAGCCTCCATAGTATTCTCAAATAGATTTTTTCTGAGATGTTAGGGTTTGATTCCAATACCTTGCACATGTTAGACAGGCACTCTATCACTGAGCTACACCCTCAGCCCTTCCAAACAGATTTTTGTAAAATGTATTATATCTATAAAACAAGATTAGAATGCTACAGGAAAAGTAATAATCAGAGAATAAAATGATAAAAAAATTCACAAATTAAAATCAAAGAATTCATTCAGTAAATCCAGTACCTTAATTCAGAGAGATAAAAGATTAATCAAAGTAATCATTACTTTTAAATGTGCTC